AAAAAAAAAAAAAAAAAAGAAAAGAAAAGAACGTTTTTAGAAGGCAAGTTCATAATATTTTAACTTATTGTTCTAATTTAGCCGTATATTTACCCTAAGGAATTGCAAAAAATGTCGAATATATTTTTGAAATAAAAAAAAGAAAAAACGTTTTTAGAAGGCAAGTTCATAATATATAAGATTTCAACTTGCTATTTCTAATTTAGTCGTTTGTAATTTTTTGTTTTTCCTTTCTTTCTTTGAAATATTAAAGTAAGTTAAATGAAAGAATTGCAAGAGATGTTGAATAGATGTTAAAGATTTTAAGAATATTATATTTTTTGAAATTTCAAATAGTTAGATATATAATTTCAGACGGTTTTGAACCGATCTTTAGTTATACTTCTGTGATTTTTCTTTCGTTTCGTTTTTCTTATCTAGACACTATCGTTAAACCAAACTATTGGGTAAGCTTAATGAGATTCATCCTCATTCTGTTAATTATCGATGTCACAGTTATTCGCCGATAAAGAGTACATAATCTAAGTATGTTTTTAAAGCGCTGTTTGAATATTCGTGGCGTTGATTCTATTTTCCTCATTCAGACCACTTGACATTCCCTTCAGTAACATTTCTTTGTTTAACGGTTGCACATGAGAAGGTACATGAATATGGACACAACTCAAACAAAGAATCTTATTCTCAACAAGAGAAAGGACATGTGGGCTGAAATGGGAAAACATGTCGCTGGGAAGAATTACGTCAATTGACCGAAACTAAAATATTGATCAAGACAAAAAATATATTAAATAATTCGGCATATTCTTGGATATGGATATAGATATTCTTAGGATAATGATTTAAGCTTGGAATCGTATTTTTGAAAAAAATATGATTCAATTTCAAGTTCATTTGTATTTATTTTTTCCCTTTCATACTCCTTTCCGCTCTTCTTCCCAATAATTTTTTTYCTTCATTCATTGCTTATTTTATCTTAGAAATTACTCCCGGCTGATTGAAACAAAGCTCTGCTCATTCACTAATATAATATCAAATCATTCACTGCAGGATATTATCCACTTGCTCTCACAGACCTATTAAATCAGTTTTAGTTGAGCCAGTCAAAGTGTTTCTCAGCATTGTCGGAAAGCACAAAGCTTTTTAAGGGCACGTAGCCTATGGAATATCATGGAAACGCATTGATTGACGTCTACCAAAACCTACTTCGTCACGATGGAAAATTGTACGATGTCACGTGTGTGATGGAGAAGCGCTGTCAATATAAAGGTCGGAATGATCTAGCGGATTTCTATACTTAGAAAACGCATTGTTCGGATGTAGTCTTATGATCAAATTGATTCGAAATCGGAAGCCATATTGAAATCGGAAGCCATATTGAAATCGGAAGCCATATTGAAATCGGAAGCCATATTGAAATCGGAAGCCATATNGAAATCGGAAGCCATATTGAAATCGGAAGCCATATTGAAATCGGAAGCCATATTGAAATCGGAAGCCATATTGAAATCGGAAGCCATATCGAAATCGGAAGTCATGTAGTCTTTTTATGAGTAAATTAATCCAAAATAGATAGATACGCCTCACGCGCCCGAAACCGAGGGTGTATTATTGTGTCATTGTTATCAACATTATTTTTTTCATTCGTTGTCCTGAAAAAGCGTGATTTTAAGAGGAAAAGTGACACCTCAGTCTTACAAATTTTTTCGATTCTGTTTGGCTAACATATTTTGTCAGATCAGCTTGGGATGCCAATGAGAAGTTACAATATTTAGTTAAATAGTGCACCAATACATGGCCGCGATGATATAACGCGGTGCAATTGAATAATAATTTATTGCTATTCTAGAGTTCTATTCAAAATCAGTAAATTACAAAAGTATTGATGACAAAATAGCGCTACCATATCAATCAGAACTAATCAGAGCCACTTCATGATTGCAGATTATTTTTTCAACTAAATCAATTTACAGAAGTACTGACTAAACTAGCTTCTTAACGAACTTATTCCTCCTTTTATTTACACCTGTCAATTAACTACGTTAATGGCTTCATCTTTTCTCTGCATGAATCCCCAGGGCACTTTTCAGTATTCTTTTCCATTATTCAAATGTAAACCGTATCAATTAGCTAGCTTTCAAACTTAATCTTTAGCTCTGAATAACATGTCCATTCTTCATAAACTTTTCTTAATGTGTGGTGCCTTGAAGTCTGAGAGCACCTCAAAACTGTTCAAGTTTAATAACGTCAAAGCTGAGGGCTTCAATCTATCTCCACTAATTAAGAAGACTCTCTGTAAACGTGAGTATGTATCAATCTTTTTTTTGACATGTTCTAGATTTTCTATTTTTTTGTCCCACAGTCTCTTAATTTTAAAGTCTTGAACTCAGTTGTTATGGTGATTTGCAAGCTTAAGAAATTGATGCTATTGCTATAACTTTTTGGTGTTGTTGAACATGATTCAACAAATAATGGTAATACTCATAGCTTTATTGTTTCAATTTAGAACTGATACAACTTCCTTTCCCTTCCCTTCAACTTCCCTTACTGGTCAAGCACAAGGCATTCAGCCAAAACTGCAAGGTTCAAATATAATTAAAATAATCTTTTGAAAATACCTTGAAGCCTCTATGTAGTGCTTTGTGTTTGACCAGTGAACCGATGTCTGGAAAGTGGTGAATAGCATAAAGAAATATTAAGAGCTTTTTTGAGGTACACAAAAATGAACGAAAAACTAGGCGAAAAGGAATCAAGTTTTTCGATTACCATCTATTGTTTTTAGTGTCAAAACAATATATTTTTCATTGCCCTCGAAGCAAGGAAAAAAAAAAAAAAAAAAAAAAAAAAAAAACAAAAAAAAAAAAAAAAAAAAAAAAAAAAAAACGACGCGGGTGGGGCGTAGGTAGTACAATACCTTAGAAAGACAAGAGCAAGACGACAATTAAAACAAGTTAATAAGAGTACAAGCAAATATTTGGTAGTTTCTTAAAAACTCCAAATATCAATTCAAGACAGGATCTTTACATGGTCAAGACAAAAAAACCCCAGATAATTTACGATTGCGATGTTCTGTGGTGATTAAAATGTAAATCAAACAAAAATAGACTTTTCTCTATTAGTCTGTGTAGACTTATCTCTAAATATCCGTTATAAGGAGGTGGTAAAGGACGCACCTTCGAACGCTTTGCACACAAGTAGTGAACTCTACACCAGGCGGTTTTAGTGTCGCACGTCCCATTTTTCCGGGCTGCTAAGTTTCAAGTTCAATAAATTCCTTTTATTTTCACTTTTACATTTATAGTTCACTTGAGAAAAGCAAAAACAAACACGATCCGATAAGTATATACATGCAGACAAGGACCGAGCTTTATTCTAAAATGTAGTATCACCTTTTATTTTCACTTTTACATTTATAGCTCACTTGAGAAAAGCAAAAACAAACACGATCCTATAAGT